ACCTCTGGTGCAAATTACTGACCTCTGTCATCATTTTAGGTGGGGGAACTTGCACAATCGGTGGCTGACTAAATACTTTTTTGCCCCACTGTATGCTCAACCATAAGAATATAAGCCAGTGTAATTTATTATTAGTCTGTGTATTTCATGACGTTATTAAAAGGTATTTACATTTGCAGTATGAGTCTAACGTATGGAAGAATGCTGTGATATTCCCTGTGCCTACATCCAGTTATCCCAAATTTCTAAAAGAGTTCAGATGGGTCACGTTCACATCAGTCATGATGAAAGTCCTGAAAAACTGGTGAAGTCAGAAATTTTAAGGAAAACTGAGGCTGTGGGAGATGAAGAAGATGTTACAGTAACTCAGGATTTTTTTCAGCTTATCCAATTCAGGGTCACAGAAAAGGCTGGAATCTACCCCAGCTGTAGGAGGGGAGGCAGGTTACACTTATAACAGGTCACCAGTCTGCCTCGGGGCTAACACAACTGCTCCTCGACTGGCTCCCCACAGCAGCTTGTGCTCCCACCCTTACATCATTTACCCTGAACACACATATGTGTCAGAGCAGGATGGAAACAGGAGCATTTTTAAACATGCAAGACTGGGACCAGTCGCAGTTCTCGATGATTTTGTTGAACCGTGAGATGAGCCCAAACTTCAATTAAACAGTCTGACACAATGATCACTGCTTTCAGAAAATGCACTCATACACAAGAAGTCACGTACTTTAAGGGACGGAAGGCAGAATTTTTTGAGTCTAATAAATATCTTAAAAGATTTACTGATTGAAAGCTGAACTTTGAAACAAACTATGAAGCTGCCAGCAGAGGAAGAGAAACTGTGCTCTTTGTGCTGACTAAGAGCTCTTAACGACCAAAAGCTTCTTACAGCACTGAACTCCTCTCTGAGCCTCAAATACTTGGATTTCCACAAGGACACAGATTACTTTGAGCATGCAACCACTAGGTGGCATCCAGACATTAATCTCTGACTCTGGAGTGAGTGGAGTGGAGACCTGCTTGAGACTCTGCAACAAATTAAAGCTATGAATCTTCAGGCAGCAGCCATGCTCTATCACGCAGTTTGCTAAATATATATGTAAAATTATATATATATATATACATTTTTAAAGATTTTATTACATTTTTAAAATCTCTTGTAAACAACTGTTCTTTAGGGAGATAGAAGACATGCTCACTTAGCAGTTTAGCCTCTTAAATTTAAAATAATGACA